AATGTTGTTGATAATATATGTTCGATTCGAGGCGATTCGAGGCGATTCACTAAAATACATATGTGAAATTATTCCTATCTCAGAGTACACCAAGCTTATATCACATGAATTTAAATACTTGTACTTACATGACTTTGCAGCGGTTAATATATATATCCTTCTGTATTTCTGTATTATACAGTATACTCGTTCGTTCGCGTTCGTCCAATTCATAAACAACAAAAATGTCAATCACAGTTCTCAGCTAGCTAACGCCTATAGGTGTGGCCTATTTTCCTTATAACTAATAATTAAAGTTAATAATTAAATATGAAGTTTAGCGTGGTGATAACATCCCGCCCACCATGAACGATCTGGTAGAGATAGTTCATCACATAATGACTTTCTTTCACCACGTGATTATCAACTGTCCTTTATAAAATTTGGTTATCAGCTGCTTCCAATAAACATATTTTTGCAACAGGTCGTCTGTAAACTGAGTTCTTTGCTCTGACGTCAACAGTTCTTACTAATCCATCGTTACCAGGGAATACATCAACAATTCGTCCCATAGGCCACGTGTTTCTGGGTACGTTATCGTCCGCAATAAGAACGAGATCATTTACTTGTACGTTTCTCTGTGGCTGGTTCCATTTCCCTCTTTTTTGCAATGACGGTAGGTATTCTTGTAACCATCGTTTCCAGTAGTGATTTGCAAGTAGTTGTGCTTGTCTCCATTTCTTTCGGCTGTATCTGTCATTCTCAGAAATAATCTCGGGTGGTAGGTTCATAGCAGGTCGAACATTCAGGAAATGGTTTGGTGTAAGGGGTTCATCATCATTTACGCTTACAGGATTCCGTGTCAACGGCCGTGAATTGGCGATGCGTTCAGCTTCCGTAAAAACAGTGTACAACACTTCCTCGTTGACTAGATCTTTACCGACTATAGCCTTTAAACTTCTTTTCACAGTTCGAACCAATCTTTCCCATACTCCCGACATATGTGAGGCTCCTGGTGGATGAAAAACCCAATTGCACCCTCTTATGGCTAATTCGCTGGTCAGCTTCGTTTTATCCAGCTGTTTTATGGCGTCTTGAATATCACGTTCAGCCCCGACGAAATTTGTCCCATTGTCAGAACGTATTTCTTTCACGTGCCCTCTTCTGTTCAAAAACCTGATAAGAACTAGGATGAAAGCATCAGTCTCCAATGACCGCGCTACGTCCAGATGAACTGCTCTGCTGTTCATACATGTAAAGATGACTCCCCAACGTTTTTCGGTTGTTTTTCCTCTTCCTCGTTTAACATAGAACGGGCCAAAATAGTCCACTCCTGTATAAGAAAATGCTGGCTCATACGGCGTCAGTCGTGCCTTTGGCAATTCTGCCATTTCTTGTTCTTGTCTTACGGCTGTTCGTTTTTTGCATTTAATGCATCCTTTGAGAACTTCCTTTATCGGTGCGCGTCCTTTTAGAATCCAACAATGTTCTCTCGATAGGGCTAAAACTTGTTCGTGCCCGCAATGACCGTTTCTTTCGTGCAGAAACCGGATAAATATTCTGGTCACGTGATGTTTTCTTGGCAATATCATTGGGTTCGCAGCGTCTCGGGATATTGTGGCGCTCTTGAAATTCTGCCTCCAACACGTAAAATTGCTTCTTCGTCAAGGGTCGGTTTTAGTCTGGCTAGACTGCTGGATTTGATCGTAAGACCTTTAACTAACTTTGCTATCTCTTCATTAAAGGTTTGCCTTTGAACGAGCTTGACTATTTTACGTCTTGCGTTTTCGAGGTCTTCTAGCGTAATTTTCTTCTCCACGTCTGGTGACTGCGGGTTTTTCTGCTTTTCATCGATCCATTGAATGAACTTCTGCAGCCACGCGATTTTTCGTAAACACTTGATCCATTTGGAAGTACTGTTAATAAGAACATCCAAAGATTTCATATGACTGACTTCGATGGCGTATATTTCTTTCTTTGTTTCGAGCGAGGTCTCAGGAACGTTCTGTAGCTTCGTCACCGGCCATTTTTCTTCTGGTTGCAGAAGGAATGCTGGTCCCGTCAACCACCGTTCGTTTTGTAGGAATTTCGGCATTTCTAGTCCCCGGCTTGCATCATCAGCAGGGTTTAGAGGCCCAGGGCAATATCTCCACTGGTCGGTCGTTGTAAGCTCATGTATTTCTGCAATTCGATTCGAGACGTAAGTTTGAAAGCGTCGCGTCTCATTGTTGATATAGTTGAGGGTGATCATTGAATCGGTCCAGAATAACACTCTTCTGATATCAAGCTCCAGCTCCGTTCTAATAGCATTATCCATACGTGCCGCCAAGACAGCCGCCTGGAGTTCAAGTCTCGGAATGGTAACTGTCCTTAATGGCGCATTTCTTGACTTTCCTGCAACGAATGAGCATTCTATCTTTCCATCTGGATAAGCGATGCGTAGATAAGATACGGATCCATATCCCACTTCTGAGGCGTCGCTGAAATTATGTAGCTCCAGCGAACTTCCTTCGTGCTGAGGCTTAGTAAAGTAACATCTTGGAATCGTTATTTTCCTCAGGAGATGAAGATCTTTCTTTCAACTTTGCCATCTTTGTAGAATCTCGCCTTCAAGTTGTTGATCCCAGGAGTACTTCTTTCTCCATAACTCTTGCATTATCTTCTTTGCCACCAACATTACTGGTGCAGCGAAATTCAATGGGTCGAAAATGGTGCAGATTGTCGACAAAACTCCTCTCATGGTATCAGGTTTCTTCAGCTCTACGACTTTAAATCCTAATTCATCGGATTCAAGGTTCCAGCGTATGCCAAGTGTTCTTTCGTTAGGCAGTTTATCTAGGCTAAGATCAAGATTTGGGTCGGCTCGTTTCTCGGCTGCAATCGACGACAACACTTCGCGATCGTTACTCATAAACTTGGTCAGGTTAAACCCTCCCATCTCACACAACTTGATCAATTCTTTCGCCTGATGGACAGCTTCTTCAGTGCTATTCAGAGATTTTAGGAGATCGTCAACGTAGAAATTATTTTTCACCGTCTTTGTAGTTTCTAGATCAAAGCCTCCCTCATTGTCTTCTGCAGTCTTCTTTAAGGCGGAATTTGCTGCACAAGGGGAGTCCGTCGCACCGAAGATATGAACAGTCATCACGTATTCTTCCGGCTGTTCTTCGGTGTCGTTTTGCCACCATAAAAATCTCAGTGAATCTTGGTCTTCTGGAGGAACTTTAACCTGGTGGAACATGCTTTCGATGTCTGCTGCCAAGCCTACGTTTTCTTGGCGAAATCTCATTAGGACACCAACAAGGCTGTTCGTACGATCTGGTCCTTGCAATAGGTTCTTGTTCAGCGAGTTGTTTTCAAATTCTGCAGCAGCATCAAATACTATTCTTACTTTTCCCGGCTTATTAGGATTTAGTACTGGGAAATGGGGTAGGTACCATTTTCTTGGTCCGGATGCAAGGACTTCGTCAGGTGAGAGGCGGCGTGCATATCCCTTCTTAAAATAGTCCTCCATTACAGAGCGATATTTTTGTTCTAGACTGGGCTCTTTCCGAAAACGTCGCTTCAGACTCTCTAACCGCTTCTCGGCTTGCTTTCTGTTGTCAGGCAAAACTGTGTCATCAGCTTTCCATAGGAGGCCTGTTTCATAATGACCATCTTTCATTGTGAACGTTTGATCTAATATCTTCTGTGCACGCTCATCTTCTTTCGACATACCTTCGGTCGAAAGGTGACGTTCTTCGTCCTTTCTGGGTCTAATGGCTCTTGTTCCGTAGCCTTCTATATTCCAAAAGTTCTCAATTTGGTCATGTAGCGTTTTATCACGGTCAGTAAAATTAACGCTGATGTCTGTTTTCGTTGAAACACCGTCTATAGTTCCTGTAATAACCCATCCCAGAGGGCCTCGTTGCCCTTGCAGTTGTCGTCCAGGTCTCTTCGATTTACGAATTTCAAGAATGTCGTGTGCTCGCTCTACGTCCTTACCAATTAATACCGAGACATTTGCAAGGTTAACGTCAGGTATGTCAAGGTCAGCCAAATGCGGATACAGATTTCTGTCGATATCCTTTGGTAAGCATCTTTCGGCGATGTTGAACTTCTTGGATACTAGGCCCTCTTGAACTTTGATTTTCTCACCATCTGAAGACGCATGTTGCAGATCAAACTCTACCACTTCGAATTCCTGACTTTCTTGTTGCAATAAAGTGTTAACTAAAATTGTCTCTTTCCTTCCACGAAGATTCAACTCTTTCGCCAATTCTGAACTTATCATAGTACCGCGAGAGGCGTTGTCTAGAAGTGCGTATGTTGTTACGGATACTCCTTGCGGAGAGAGCACTTTCACAGGAACTACGTGAAGTAACACAAATTTTGAAGTAGTATTTGTTATTGTCGCATATTGCTCCGTCTTCTTTTCTTGCGCCGATTGCTTGTCAGGTTCGACTTCCTTTTGGTCCTCCGGTAATTTCTTTCCATCTTTCATTTCTTTCTTATTTTCGTTCGACTTTGTATTATGTAGCAGCAAATGATGTTTTCTCTGACTACTACAAGGGCAAAATTCAACATACCGGCAGTTTTCTCTGAAGTGTCCAGCTTTCATGCAGACGTGACATAGTTTTTGCTTCTTGACGACATCCCTTCTTGCGTTTACTTCTTTCCTTCGGAATTCCGGGCAAAAGGCGAGCTCATGTGATCGTGAACAACATGGACAATTCGGCCAGTGAGGCTTCTTGCTCTTATTATCATTATCATTATCACCAGTTCCATCAATCTTTCCTTTCTTAAAATCGGTAGTGTATGCTAAAGTTTCCTTGTCTGTTTTGGGGTCTTCGTTTTTGGGGTCTTCGTTTTTCCGCCCGCGCCATCTCCCTGGCTTATATTTCCAGTCCGTGTTTTTCCCTGTGGTTGATCCAATGAACACAGGATCATTTTTGATCGCCGCTTGCCTTTTCACGAATTTAGCTAGGTCCTCGAGTCGTGGCTTTCTTCCCTTTTCTCTAATCGTGAACGATACGTCTCCCCATTTGTTAATCAGGTAGTTTGGTAGCCTCGAAGCGATCAAATTTAAATTCGATGTCGTGCTCGCTTCTTGTTCGTATTCGTCTTCAAGCCTTTTCACTGATGACGTAAGTTGTTCGGCAAAGTTACGCAATCCTTTGTAGTCACCGTTTGTCAACTTTGGACCAGATGTCAGGGACTCAATACAAGAGGCAGCAACTGTGGCAGGCTGACCATATCTATCTTGCAAAATCACTATAATATCCGGGTAAGAACAGCCAGCCACTCTTTTCACAGTTTCATACGCATCTCCAGATACAAATTTAGGTAGAAATTCGATTTTTTGACTGTCATTAAGAACTCCGTCTTCAAGATTGTCAATCAATCTTTTTCTAAATGTGGGAAAGTCAGACGGGTTACCATCAAATTTCACAGGTTGCATTGCTTGTAACATATTCACCTTTAACATCACTGCTTGAGCATCCGAAATCTGGTTTTTACTAATTTCCGGTATGATTCTTGCACTCGATCTATTTTTCCCACGCTCATTAAATGTGACATGTCCCTTTTGACCAGCTGTATTTGTTTCCACTTTATTTCTATTACACGTGTTTTCAAAATATTTCTTGGGTTGATTGTTGACACGCTCAGGCGATTCAAGATTGTCCAAGGCTTGATTATCAGCTGTTTGGCTTGAGCAAGACTTTACCCATAATTCAGTCTGTTCTCCTTTTATTAATTGTGTAATTGGAGGGGGTGGCAATCTGTCCGATCCATTTTCATCATTCGAGCTGGACATGTCATCGCTGTCATATTCTTGCATCAGTTCGGCCTTTCGTTCTGCGAGGGCAGCCTCTGCTTTCAGTTTTCTTACTTTTTCGCGCGTTTGAAATTCTATCTCTATCTTTTTCTTTTCCATCTCAGCTTCAAATATCGCGGCTTCCTCAGCTTGGGTAGCTGCCAATCTTTTCAATTCTGCGTCCATTTTGGCTTTTTCTTTTTTCGAACTCTTAGACGATTTCGAAACTTTGGACGAAATTGACTTTGAACCAATGCTCTGTCTTTGCGCCGTTGCTTGTTGTTGAAGCGCCATTGATTGACAATAACGTAGATATTCCTGGGCTTCGAAAACACAAGAAGCGTGATTTTTACTATTATATGAAAAGACTTCCTCAATTCGCGCGAACTCTTCTTCTGCTAGATTTTTCGATAAATATTTTCCATACGCGTTATTATAGCCTTGCCATGCCTTTTCAAGAGATTCTAAAATGTCAACGATTTCGTGCGGTCCACGCCCCTTTGTGACACAAGTACTTAATTGATTGACGAGTGCTGTAATACGCCCTTGATGACCGCCAAGGGTACGTTGTTGGCGGTATATTTCTTCGTTTTCAACCGATTCTCTGTCAGTAAATTGTGTTTTCTGTCTTGTACTACGTCGTACAGGACCTAATTCAGTTCCAGTTTCAGTGTTTTCGGGGGTTTCGCTATCGACAGTATTACTAGGTACAGTTTTATCCGTGACTTTGTCAATTTCACTAATACTTCCGTGTTGTTTACTCGCGAGATTTGTTTCAGAGACATTTTGTTCGTTCTCTTCGGGTCGGTTTTCATCAGTTTTATCATGAAACAACATTAAATTTTCTTCGTTTTCTTTACTAGATTCATCCATACCTTTGTTTCGAATTCAAAAGGCTAAATTGCTCGGTTCAAATAGAGTTCAGTATATCAGTTTCAAGCTTGTTTATATTTTAAACAGGCGTTCGTGTATTTATACCAAAACAATTCAATCCATTTGGTCAAAGATCGGCCAAGTCATTGAATGATGTAGTGTTCTTTCAGTATTCTTTCAGATATTTATTTCTTTAATATTCTTTCATAAATTTCAACTAATAATAACACGCCACAAGCTTAGATATCACCCCAGTGTCGCAATGTTGTTGATAATATATGTTCGATTCGAGGCGATTCACTAAAATACATATGTGAAATTATTCCTATCTCAGAGTACACCAAGCTTATATCACATGAATTTAAATACTTGTACTTACATGACTTTGCAGCGGTTAATATATATATCCTTCTGTATTTCTGTATTCTATACTCGTTCGTTCGCGTTCGTCCAATTCATAAACAACAAAAATGTCAATCACAGTTCTCAGCTAGCTAACGCCTATAGGTGTGGCCTATTTTCCTTATAACTAATAATTAAAGTTAATAATTAAATATGAAGTTTAGCGTGGTGATAACATCTGCAGTAAGGGCAAATCCTTGTATAGTCGATCGCGCAGGTTCTAACAACAAGCCACGTAAGTAGGAAAACTTGTCTACTTCACTTAACTGGGTATTCCCGTCTATGGCGCTTGAAAACCCGTCCCAGAATTCCTGCCATTCGTGAACCTTTCCTGAAAACTTAGGCACTTCGAGTGTAGGTAACCGTACTTGTTTAGTATTCGCTGTTACCGTCGCACTACTAGAATTCTGAGGAGCAGATGATGTACTGGGCAAGGACCCTTCGATATTCAAACATAATTTACTATTAATTCTTAAAATTAGTGTTTGTACCTCAGCCTTTATGTTCTCTGATTCTTCTATTTCCCCATCAATTTCTTCCTCGAGATCCTTGTCGCCACAAAGTATATTTAATATTGCATCGTCGAGGTGCATCTTTTTTTCTTCCAACACTAGTTTTGCTTCTGCAGTCTCTTCGTAGGACGCTATTAGTTCTTTAGTCATTCCAATGAGTTTCTTTACGTAGCTGCGATGCTCTCTGCGCACTTTTCGTTTCTTCACCAACTCAGTCATTTTGCGTTTCTTTCAATCCGGCTCGTCAATGACCAGGTTTTGCAAACTTTACCCACAGTCTACACCGTCAAGGAAGTTTGCACACGCTGGTTCCCAATTCCTACGATCAAGGGACTGTATCTATCGGTTATATATTTTCTTTATTATAATTGCGTTACAACATTTCAAAAATTCTCTAAACACATCAATTCAATCTCGATTCAATCTCAAACTTCTCACTTCGAACTCCGAACTCACGCACTCTTACATTTTACAACTCTATTTATAATATTAGCTAAGGTCTCTGAGCCAAACCATTGACGCGCGCATTCCTGAGGTTTCCGCGCTTGGCAGCCAAAAAGCGGGGTTTCCTGCGTTGGCTTCTTACGATAACCTAATCTTTGTCCATTCGTTCATATAAGTTTTGGCAAAAACAACTACATATTTTGCCCACAAACATCCTCATACTTTACAATCTAAATTATATTTCCTACATACAATTAACACAACTTTTACAACAACTAATGCACTATATTTCGTATTAAATAGTATATACTTTATTATAAAATACTCTACCACGCCTTTTATACTACCGGCCTTTGCCGCTCCATTTAGAGAATTTCTATTCGTCAATTTAAGGACATCTATATATGAAATGGGTAATATATACACAAGTAACTGTTAATTATTAATTTACTAATTCATCTTCTAAAATTGAGAAAGAGTTTGAAATTGGAATTTGAATGTCTGATTTATTTTCCTGAAACAATAATAATAATAATCAGTAATTTAGCTGCCGACTTATGTACGAGTTGTATTAAGGGCATATAGGAATTGTAGATACATTATTAATATGATATATATATATATATATATGTTGTGGTTTCCCACGTTTACGATTCCACTTGTGTAATGTTATGTAGCAGTTTTTGAGTTGTTTTCAGACAAGTGTATACCAAACCGGCAAGCAGAAAATTCTACTTGACCACGGCTGGGATTCGAACCCGAGACCTTCGCATTTCTAGAACGATGCTCTACCGTCTGAGCTACAAGGTCAAGCTGAGAACGACTTGTTAAGTTATGATGTCAGTTGCATTTCGGAGGTTAGTCCTTCAATGCGTAAAGCCAGCTATTAGTCTGGAAATGTATCCAAACATATCTTACCTTTTGTTGCATTATTGGAAGATGTACTTCCGTCGTCATCTGAGGAACTAGAAATTTCACTGTAAGAATTCCCTCTTTTCCTTTCTAGAGTAATAACAAATAACCATTTTCACGAATTAAGTTTGGCATGTAATGTTTCTGTTGTTGTTACAACAAACACTAATATAACAATTGGTTGAAAAAATTGTTAAATCTTACTATACAATGCTTGTTCCCTGTTTGCTTCTTCTCTTTGATTCTTGCATTCTGTATGTCTTCTTTATAAGTGGCAATGTCATCTAAGAGCTGACTAAGCTCTGAATAATCTTCCTCAGTGCCTGACCTAATAGGAGGAGAGATCAAAAGAAATTAGTGAATAAGTAATAAGTCTATTAATTTCTTATAAATTGTTGACAACAGCATGGATTTATTGGGGGGTGCACCCCCCTAGGCCTGGCCAGGGGGATGCTATTTTTCATGATAAAGCAAAAAATATTAGAGACAAAATGAGATAGAGTAATTTGAGTAACAACATAAGTGAACTGTGAACAACAATTACAATTCAAATACAGTAGTCAAGCAAGTTGATGGACGGGCGACACACATGACCAACACAACTCGGCACCAGAGCTGGCAGAGCACACACACCCTTATCAGATCATGCTGGATCCATCCCTAGGCCACAATGCAGTTTAATGGGTTCATATTCCTGTAAATGGTAGCAGGCAATGCCTATCCACCATTTATGGGCATGAGGTGGTAACACCAACCGATTACAATCCATAAAATGAGATCTAACGTGATATGCATCCCAGGAACCAGCAGGGCTGACAAGAGAAATTGCAGGTCCCAAAGCAAACATTTTTGCAAGTCCCATGCTATATCTTGGAGTAGGGCCCTCTACATGCATGAACTAAAAATGAGCAAAAAGGTCCCCCCCCCGCAAATTTGTGGAGGATATCAACGTGCAGAGAGGAAAGATTCTGAATCAGTTTTTAGGAGCCTCAAAATTGGGATAAAAATACCACTTTGCCAAGAAAACAGCTGCTATATTTACAAAATATAACCTCTTAAATTATCAAACTATATTTTCATAGAATGTGATATGCAGGCAACACAGGCATCTACAGGACAAGCCAAACATAAAAGTAAACATTAAAAGTTCAAACATTGCCTTTACCTTTTCAGAGCTTTAGCTTCATCATTCTTGTGCTTTGCTAGAAGTCGATCACTTCGTTCTCTACATCCTCTTCCTTTCAAATCTACAGGTATATCTGGGGACCATGTGCCGAACAAACCACTCAACCCTTCAGCTATCTTTTGCCAATCCGACGGCTTTTCAGGTCTACTTTTAATGACTTTGTTTGCCAGTGCAAGGTTGTGCCTCAAATCTGGCCATCGAAATGGCATGGTATTCTGACTGTTGAGTAGCTCAGCTGACAAGTTATTAAAATGCTACCTGAAACTAACGAGAAGAAAGATTAGACTCTTAATCAATTAAAGGTGAAGCTCTGTTTTTTCCAGAAATTTACACAGTCAACAACACACAAATGACGAAATATATAAGTTTGAACTGACTGTATACATTCCACCATTTTGTACCACTGCATGCGCCACGATTATAAAGCGATAAAAGAAAAGATTAAAACCTATTCATCCATATGAATCGAAACAATAATAAAACAAAAAGTAACATAATATTATTAAAATATTCTTAAGTCAGATTACAAAATATTTAAGGAAATAAATGCTGAAGTAAGTGATATAACGTGAAAACATACCTGCTGCTGTCACAAACGTTCAAAATATACGGGAAACACATAGTTTTGGGCGAGTCGTTACAATACAATAGGTCTTAGTGGGACATTAGGTTTATGTATCTTAGGTAAACCATAAAATTTTGGACAAACAGTAGCTGAAGTTCTCAAACAGTTATGAAGTGTTTGAGACAAAATACCTGCCTTTTTAAAACCAGATAGTTTGGAACATATTTTACATTCAATGTTAGCTGTAGGGTCTCTTTTAAGTTCTTTATAAGTTGAAGTGTTTAAAAGAGCCAAGATTTTATTATCATATTCTAGACAATCTAAAATAACCGTAGCGTTACCCTTATCTGCTCTTAAGTTTTTCAATGCATCCTTCTTATTCTTGGTTAAATTCGAAGCTGGTAGCGTTGCACGTTGTAGAACCTCAGTGAGTTGGATGCAGATGTTACTCGCTGCATCGTTCGTCATGTGGTATAACTTTGGTTCCAAACGTTGTACAAATTCTTCTTTAGGAAGAACACAGGGTACCACAGCGAAATTTAATCCAAGAGCCAAGACATCTTCTTCAACCGGCGTAAGTCTTCTAGCACTCATATTGATAACAGTGCGTTGTAATGGATGACTGGCCAAATCTTCTTGTCTGCGATGCATCCGATGAAAGGACGTCAATTTTGTGAACTGGCAATCTGAGTGGAACATGCTTTGTTGAAAGTATTCATAGAAGATGCAGAGATCATTGTTTTAGCCGTTGCATAGTGTTCTTCATTTAAAGTCATCCACAGTTCTTCATTCAAAGATGAAATATGTTCATCCACTCTGCATAACTGTCTACGAGTCCAAGCAATTTTTAAATGGATTTAAAAGAATATCACGGCAAGGTTTTTCCCATTGAACAGTCGAGATACTTGTTGGTCTTTCAGGAGATATAGATTCTTCAAATTGTCCCACTTCACCTTGAAAGATAGCAACTTCGATCTTATACCATCTTCACGTTCACAGTCGACAAGTCCTGTAAAAATATGTTCATTTTCGGTTTTCAATATATCATGTCAATCATAACAATTCATCACAGAAATTGAGTTTAATTGAGAAGTCTATGTTTAATCAATATCTACCAGGGCGTTTGGTAGTAGCTATACAATATTTGCATTGGTGTTAAATGCAGTGATACAACACAGTCTAATATTTGGCCACGAAGTCAACATGGTGGCCCAACTGAGTTCAGGTGCACCAACAACTTCAGATGAACGGTTGTTCGTCCTGTTGCAGTTGTTGTTTGCATTGCTCCAGCAGAATGACCAAAGAATCTATTTTTTCTGAGCTGAATGGCTATGCCTGAGATGCTTTACCTGTGCTCGATTCCTTGGGAGTTTGTGTCATTGCCTTTCTTTTCAAAGATTTCACGGTACTTTGTTTTCTTGCATAAACAGAGGAATGGCTTTTCATAGAATTTTCGTGAACAGATGGGAAAACTTGGTGTTTTTCTTCTTTAAACAAATACTGTACGAACATCAGATCAGGATACTCTATAAAAGAAATAAGAGGGTGGGAAGGGGGAGGGGGGGGGGGTTGGATCATGTTTCACAACGAAAAAAAAATTCACAATTCAGAAAAGACCATTTCACAAAAAAAACCATTTCACAAAAAACAATTTCACGGAAAACTAGATTAAAAATAATATTATAATAATAAGTTTATTAAGAGTATGTTTAATGCATGGTACAGTATCTACGCTACACATATCAAACATACTATCACGAACATTTGAGTCAACTTGTGTCCAGTGCCCCGCATGCAGTGAATGACATGCAATATGACACTTAATATATGTAAACAAGATGGCGCAAAGACCTAAGCGAACTTTGTGTCAGCCGATACATTTTGCCGAAGAGTACAGTGACTACACTCCTAGGCCTTCGTCCAAATGGATAATAATCTTTACGAGATTGAAGTACAGGGAGTAGATCGCGATAGAAACTTGGTGCACATTCACTACAAGGGATACAGCAAGAAATATGACGAGTGGAGACCTTACGGTGACAGACTTACGAGCAAGCATATTTCCCTTTTATAAGACAAGAGATTATGCCAGCACTGTCCGAGGAGTCACTGAATGAACCAGCGGAGTTGTTTAAGAATTTACTTTACAGGGAAATAAAGCGAAAGTTGTATTCTTTTAGACGAGACGACCCAATTGTTCGAATTGAGGTTGATGCGTCACCAGTTGTATTTACTGTGGTACTTGGCGGCTTAGTAGAACATGTTATGGAGAGAGGCAGGTCGGTTTACAACATGCATTGAACAAAGTTCTTGACGATGCTCTGGGATTGAGGTGGGATGAGCGGATATACAACCCAAATGGAGATTTTGACTATGTCATTGAACAAACTGTTGAGTATTGGCTCAGCAAATATGTCAAGTCAGAGATTGAAGGCTCATACCACGTCATATTTATGTTTGTAAGAGGGGACAGAAACAGGCTTCAATATGAACAAAGACATTAACATTTATATTTTATTTAGGATCAGTATTTATTATTTAATAAACAATTGGGTGCAAAAACAATTTTATGTTAAAAAAATATGTACATATGTTAGATCAAAATATTCTCTTTCAATACTGATTATTATACTATATTAAAAATTGAGACCTGGGTTTTCAACATTATACTCCCTTTTGTCCTTTTTAGCAATCAACATTTAAATATATCCTGTACCATGTTTGAAATTAAGCCATAAAACAATTAGGCTGATCTTTCCCAGCAATGTTAGTGAGATGTGCACAACATGTTTTATACTTACACTTACTACATTCAGCAGTGCATGTCTTAATTGTATAATTGTATATTGAAGGTCAAACATCTAAAAAGTTGCAAATCTTCCGACTGGTGGAGAGAAGTCAAGAAATTGAGTGGAATGAACTCGGCTTTCAACTCTAAAAATGAGGTGTATAAGTCGTTAGAAAATCTAAATGAGACAGCTACTAGTACCAAACATCTTGCCAACATTATCAATGGAATCTTTCTTTCTCCTATGAATAACTTCTCCCCTTTAGCCAGTGACTTTTTCGCTTGTACCAATTTCGGCAGCGATGAACCTGGTTTTACGGTTACGGAGCAGGAGGTCTTTATGAAATTGTCAAAAATGAATCCAGCCAAGGCCAGTGGTCCAGATGGGATACCCAGCTGGGTTCTAAAGGAAAATGCTGATCTACTGGCCGATCCTGTAAAAGAGATTTTGAATCTTTCGTATAGAAATGGCTGTCTTCCGCAGTCGTGGAAAGAAGCGGATATTGTTCCTCTTCCAAAGCAGAAACCGGTAAAAGACGTGAATAAGCACCTACGTCCCATTTCATTAACATCTGTTGTTTCAAAGGTGGCGGAGGATTTCGTTGTCGAAAATTTTGTTAAACCTGCTGTCCTTAGTAAGATTGACACAAATCAATTTGGAACGATTCCCAAATCATCAACGACTCATGCGCTAATAAGCATGATACATAAGTGGAAAAAAACAAACGGACGGAAACGGTTCTATGGTGCGGGTTGTCCTTTTTGATTCAAAAAAGCCTTTGACTTAATCGATCATGGTATTCTCGTAGACAAGCTTACTACCTTTGAAATACCAAAGCGAATAATTGGGTGGATCGTTAATTTTCTCAAAGACCGTAAACAGCTCGTCAAGTTAAGCCAAGATTGTCACTCCGAATGGGGTTTGGTTCCGGCAGGCGTCCTTCAAGGGACTAAATTGGGTCCTTGGCTTTTTGCTATAATGATAATTGACCTAAAAGTAGCGGATATAGATTTATGGAAGTATGTGGACGATACTACAATCTCCGAGATTGTCCTTAAACATGAAACCAGCAGCATCCAATCTCAGGTAGACGAGTTTATAAGGAAATCAACTGCAAATAAATTTCAGTTAAACGAAGAGAAATGCAAAGAGCTTCAAATTACCTTTGCAAGACCCGGCGTACGTTTACACCCGTGTATGTTAATAATAAACCAATCGAAGTTGTCCCTTCTGCAAAGATATTGGGCATGCGAATTACGAACGACCTTAAATGGAATACCCACATCTCAGAGATTATAAAGAAAGTTTCAACAAGACTCTTCTTTCTTTGTCAACTAAAAAGAACAAAAATCTGTAGAAAGGACTTGCTAACATTTTACCTGACCTGTGTGCGTCCTGTGATGGAATATGCTTGTCCCGTTTTCCACGACTCCTTACCCAATTACCTATGCGAAGATCTGGAGAAGTTACAGAAGCGAGCCCTTCATATAATCTTCCCAACGTTACCTTATGCAGAAGCTTTGGTAGAAGCGGGAGTTGACTCATTATTTAATAGAAGACAAATCCTAACTACTAAACTATTTAATGATATTGCAAATGACGAAAGTTATAAGCTTTACCAATTACTACCAAGTAAGAACTTTTCAAATTATAATATAAGGAAAGAGAACATTTTTAACGTTTCTATTGGTAGGACGAATAGACTTAAAAATAGTTTTATACAGCATAATTCTACAATGTATTTTAGATAAAGTAAATATTTATATAAGGAAAGAGAACATTTTCAACGTTTCTATTAGTAGGACGAATAGATTTAAAATAGTTTTATACAACATAATTCTACAATGTATGTTAGATAAAGTAAATATTTATTGTAAAGTTACAAGCGTAATTCAACCCGTGGGTTGTAATGTTTTTAATTAATTAAACTATCTATCTATCTATCTATCTATCTAAAATTACAGTTCGAGCAGGTATAAGTTCTTTTCACCCTAGCACACCCAGCTGCCTCTTGGAACTGTACTCGGTTTCTTTTAAGGAAAAGTTGGCAGAAACACCTATGATTTGTTGATCTGAAGTTCTTGGATGTTATGTCATTATATTTTTCCATGCCTTGTTGTGTGAGGTATTCTATGTTGCCATACAGGGCAAGAAACTCAGGAACATGTGAACAGAGGGCATGCATGTACAGTGTGACATCCTTTGTTTGGTAGACAACAAGAAATTTTGTCAGCCAGCTTTTGACCTCAGTCTTAAAACTGTTTGCCTCGTCAAACGTAAAGTCTTGTTTAAGATCATTTGCGATGTCGCGAAAGTCATTCCAAATTTGTTGAACAATTTCGTTATCAGGTGAATTTGGCAAAAGTGAAGAAATTTGAATATTGCTTAAAGAGTTTTACTTTCTTGGGCCCAATTAAATCTCGATAGTCCAATTGCTTGGATTCTTTGCTCACATAAAAGTGAAATGGTATTCCTAGACTTTGGAGATAACTTTCATACCCAGCCATATACTTGTATTTATTCCTTGCAACGTTGTCTGTAAATGTCTTCTTTTTGTCAATTGCATCACAAACTCTCAATTTTCAAATAAGTAACTTTATAAGATTATTGCATATCCACAGGTAAAGGTGGAGTGTGTCAATAATCACATGACTGAGGGGTATAAATGGAAATAAGGGTGCGTGGTTGCAATTATATTTCTGTGATTTCGAATTGTCCCTTATTTCTTTCAATGTTGTGGCTCCAAACTTTGGATCCAGGATAGACCAGACTTTATTTGTGTTATACCTCTGCAATTTTGGGCACTTGCACCAAATGCAAGCATAGTCAGCATTAGCAGCCCCAATCCCACAAACAGAAGCCAAAAACTTCCAATCTCTACCAAGGAAATATTCAATTTCATAAATGTTAAAGTAAATCATCTACTTTTATCATTTTGCTCTCTGCCATTTCTTTAATTAAATCCAACAAACCAACTGACAAAGCATCATAGCTTTTCTTTTAATACTGCATGTCTCCAGGTTTCAGTGTGCCAGAGCCGCTTAGTCGCCTAATTTGTTCTGAAAAACTTTTTCTAAAACTAGTTTGTATTATTTCTGTGTCTCCGGGGGTAGGCTTTAAGTCCCATTTACTGTTTAATTTGTTCATGTGCTTAATGAGCTTATTCAAACAAAGGGGATCTTCAGAGTTCATGGCTAACTCATGCTACGCCTCATTTGAAATGTTAAACCACCGGTCTTTAAGGTAGAGCCACATATTCAAATTATTGACTTCAACTTCCATTTCTTTCTCTTCTTCATTCTCATCACCCACTGGATCTTCAGTATTAAAGGTAAAACTTTCAACTTCCCCAGTGTCCACATTGCATAACTCAACCCTTGAAGGAACAAATTGGTAATGGCTGACGAAGGACAAGGCAGTTTCACATTGGTCTTTTAATTGTTTCCTTATTCACCTTTGATGTTGCTTCGAGTACTTGATGAAGCTTTTCTTTGATGGACCTCTCACCTTCTTATTCGCTGTCAACCGTTTTCAGTTGCAAGTTCATCACGATATATTGTGATACTATAGGATGAGTTCCTCCAGGTATTTAAAAGTCTAAACTGCCGGTTTCCCACCTTTCACACGTTTCCAAGCAGCGCATAGACTAGAAATCTTTTTCGAAAATGCTTTAAGCAACCAAGTGCGAAGTGTAACACCACGTATGCCTGATTCCAGAAGAATATGATTGACAACAATGGCCAACCACAAATCATGACTTTGATCCTCTTGTCGTTTGTACTCATGCCATAGTGTAAATCAAGTAACTATACGGTATTAATCAGAAAATGTATATTTAATACTAAGAAGCATTTCCCAAGCATAAACTTCAATTATGAGGCAGAATACTAAAAAGTACATTTTACTATATCGACACCTTACTAACATTATTGCCTAAGTCAACATTTAGTTATTTTGAGATAACACAAGAAATAATTATAAAATTTTTTAAAACCTGTATTCTTTAATAATTTTTTGTACAACTCTTATCAAAATCAACACAAATAAAACACCTAACTTAGCAAGTGCTAAATTTTGTTACAAACAGGTCAAAAATGACATAGGCAGATATATTGTTTAACAAGTGTGAGATAGGCAGTTTTTGGTATCTTCACGAAGGTAACATGAAATGTTAAATGCTCTGAAGCACAAGAGTTCTTTTCCTTATTCACTATCGTGAGGAAGCGCGTCATAAAATCTATGTGCCCATTGAGGTAATACAGGTTTCATTGACTGGAGGTCGTTAAACTTTCTCGACTTGTCAACCTTTTTCAGTTGCAAGTTCATCATGATATATTGTGACACTAGAGGATGAGTTCCTCCAGGTACTTAAAAGTCTAACTGCCGGTTTCCCACCTTTCACATGTTTCCAAGCAGCGCATAGACTAGAAGTCTTTTTCGAAAATGCTTTAAGCAACCAAGTGCGAAGTGTAACACCATGTATGCCTGATTCCAGAAGAATACGATTGACAACAATGGCCAACCATGAATCATGACTTTGATCCTCTTGTCGTTTGTACTCATGCCATAGTGTAAATCAATAACTATACGGTATTAATCAGAAAATGTATATTTAATACTAAGAAGCATTTCCCAAGCATAAACTTCAATTATGAGGCAGAATACTAAAAAGTACATTTTACTATAATGCAAAATCATTACAATTGTTCAACAATTACTTGCTTATCTGGTGTACAATGTAAGGTAGATTAGTCTGAGCAGAAGTCCTTTCACCATCTCCTGCAGCCGAGACCAAGTGAATTATTAACGAGCTTGTAAACACAAGCAAAACCCACATCTTTGCACTCATTTTGCCCTTCCTAAATCACCATGAATAAACATGAATTTGCTATCAAAATGCGCCAAGATTTGGCAGTAACTGGAGTTAAAGACCTGCGTAGAAGGCCTACTGCCAGTTTTCTTCAACAGACACCGCATGTGAGGCGAATTTCCTATGTAAATTCTAACAAATAGCCCATAATCAAACGAAAAGTGCCCTTCGAATTAAGTATTATTTTCCCATAAAAGTACATTCAAAAGACGTCCAAAGGCTTATTCTTTCCTATACCATAGGTAACTGAAAACAAATATAATTGTAGAGCAAACGTAAGTGAAAAACATCAAATTTTGAGGTGATTTGTATAGGCAAAGGTTGGAAATATGACACACACAATACGATACGACTTTTTCTTAACACAAAGTTTGATATGAAGTTCTTACTTCTCTACCTGGCAGTTAAAACCTACATCATAACTTAACAAGTTTGAGTGAAAGTATGTCCGACGACCTCTGAAAGGCCTCCGAAGTTTTTACTACTATGGAATCCCAGACTAAGCCTCTATCAGGACTCCCCTTCTTATTGAGAAAGTGATCGCTAATCATCATTTCTCTCATCAACAACAAGTTGTGGTCTTCTGTCCACTCCATTGGTTTTGGTTTTGTATTTGTAATCTTGCCATTTGTTGCCATTTTGGGCCGATTTTGGACATTCTACACTGTTAAAAAAATCTCTGTTATTTTACAGTAAAAAGTACTGGCAGCTTGGACACCAGAACAAATACTGTAAAATTACAGACTGTATTTTAACAGAAAACTGTAATTTTACAGGAATATTATGTTAATGTGTAACCAGGAAAGTACCGTTAATATACAGTAGAATGTAGTGCTAATATACAGTACATTGTACTGCCAAATCACAGTACAATAAACTGCTAATATACAGTACATTGAACTGCTAAATTACAGTACAATGAGCTGCTAATATACAATGAACTGCTAATATTCAGTACATGGTAATGCTAAAACACAGTAAAAGTACTGGCAGCTTGGACGCCAGAACAAATACTGTAAAATTGCAGAGACTGTATTTTAACAGAAAACTGTAATTTTACAGGAATATTTTGTTAATGTGTAACCGGGAAAGTACTGTTAATATTCAGTAGAACGTAGTGCTGATATACAGTACATTGTACTGCCAAATCACAGTACAATAAACTGCTAATATACAGTACATTGAACTGCTAAATTACAGTACAATGAGCTGCTAATATACAATGAACTGCTAATATTCAGTACATGGTAATGCTAAAACACAGTAAAAGTACTGGCAGCTTGGACGCCAGAACAAATACTGTAAAATTGCAGAGACTGTATTTTAACAGAAAACTGTAATTTTACAGGAATATTTTGTTAATGTGTAACCGGGAAAGTACTGTTAATATTCAGTAGAACGTAGTGCTGATATACAGTACATTGTACTGCCAAATCACAGTACAATAAACTGCTAATATACAGTACATTGAACTGCTAAATTACAGTACAATGAGCTGCTAATATACAATGAACTGCTAATATTCAGTACATGGTAATGCTAAAACACAGTAAAAGTACTGGCAGCTTGGACGCCAGAACAAATACTGTAAAATTGCAGAGACTGTATTTTAACAGAAAACTGTAATTTTACAGGAATATTTTGTTAATGTGTAACCGGGAAAGTACTGTTAATATTCAGTAGAACGTAGTGCTGATATACAGTACATTGTACTGCCAAATCACAGTACAATAAACTGCTAATATACAGTACATTGAACTGCTAAATTACAGTACAATGAGCTGCTAATATACAGTATATTGTACTGCCAAATCACCGTACAATGAACTGCTAATATTCAGTACATCGTAATGCTAAAACACAGTAAAAGTACTGGCAGCTTGGATGCCAGAATAAATACTGTAAAATTACAGAGACTGTATTTCAACAGAAATCTGTAATTTTACAGTAATATGTTAATATAGGTCCTGTTCACACTAGTTGTTTAGATCGATCTGAGATCGGTCTGAAGTAAATCGAGCTAAGTGTGAACCGTCATAAAAATTTGAGATCGATCTCAGTCAGCCCGCTTGAAAAGGTGGTGTGAGATCGATCTCTGATCGATCTGGTTTATGTGTGAACACAAAAGAATGCAAGACATCGATCTAGCATAGTTTAACTCCCATGCTCTTCCCGCCAATCGCGCAGCCTTTGAAGGAATTTTTTATCAGTACAAAAAAACAGAAAAAAGCCGAAGAAAGCAGTATTTTTTGTTATTAAAATGGCCCAAAAACGTGAACTATGGTCGGAAAAAGAGTGTTTAGCACTTCTTTCAGCATATGGGATGGAAGAAATTTTAAAAAAAGCTAGAAGGTACGCACAAAAATGCCGATATTTATCGAAAAATCAGCGATACTATGAAAAAAAAGGCATACACCGTGATTGGATGCAGTGCATGACTAAATTTAAACACATGAAGTTGGAATATAAGAAGTTTAAAGACAACCTGTTGCGTTCTGGAGGTGGGAGAGGCAAAGAACCCAAATTTTTTCAGATAATGGATGGTTTTTTGGGTGATCGACCAGAAGCAGAAGGACTGAAAAACAGTATTGATACATCTGGTGATGCTGCATGCTCAGATCTGCTGGTGCTGAAATTTCAGAAACTGCAAGTGTTGATGGACTTGGTAAGTTATTTTGGCAGACCATTAGAAAAGTGATGGGGGGGGGGGAGGGAATTTTTCAGCTTCCAGGAATATTTTTTCTGGCCGTCTCCTTGTGCTGAATTTTTTTCTCGGAATGTTAAAGGTATTTTCCTTTGCTTTCCCTCTTTGCACGAATTTTTCCCTTTCGTTTTCCTTTGCGCGATCCCCCCCAACATCAATTTTCTAATCAGTCCGCCCCTAACAAACATAATTGTACATGCAAGGTCAGGGAGGTGGGTCCGGGATTGATACACCGAGGGAGCTGGCTGGAAATGTTTTTTGATTCTTGTGGCTAGAGGTGAAATATTTGTTTCATTTTTTCTAGGTGACGAACTTATTGAAAAGTATGGCGAGGGAAGAATTATTGAGAAAAAATGTCCTCAGTGCAATGAGATGGTTGAAGTGATGACAGCTGGTGCTCGTATTGGAAATAGCACAGCAGTATACACTGATGATGATAAACTTGTGTGTCCATATTGCGATTACATAGAACCAGGTAAGTAATAAGACATTGTGTGTGTACCATATTTTTTGTATTATTATTAAGCTGCGGTAACAAACATAAGATATGTTGTTATGTAGATATTAATGATAAAAATGATGAAGCAAATGAGAAATCTGAAGCTTCCCATAGTGAAAAGGCTATCAAATCTGCCAGCAAGAAAAGTAAACCAATTATGGGAAAAGGAAAGCCTTCTAAGATGCAAGTGGCATTTGAAAACGCGATGAAGGAACACAACACATATCTAAAAGAGTCTGACAAAATGTTTTTGTCAGAAATGAAAGAAGAAGGAGCAAAAGAACGAGAGTTGCGAAAGGAAGAGCTTGCCGCATACAAAGATTCAATGGCACTTCTTGCAAATGCAATTGCAGGGAGGTCACAGCCTGTTCAACAACCATATTATAATGTTCACCATGATATTGACAGTCAACAAACATTTTACAAATTTTAATTTTATTGTTAACAAATATTAGCACAGTAACTGTTATCCATGTGCTATATATATACTAAACTTATATGAAGGCTATAACTTGTGTGCTCCACATAGTTACAAATTAAACATAGTTTGTAAACTTATTGTGTTTTAAAAAATTCAGTTAAAGAATTTCTTATCTCTTCTGCACTTGTGTCTATATTCTGTAAAGCAAAATCTGAAACATCCTCATCAGGAATATCCTCAAAGTAATCTGCAGTAAGCTTGTCTGCCCTGATCTCACAAATATTGTGCAAAACACAACATGTTGCAACTTTCGTTGGTAAGTATTTTAAACTTGTATAATTCTTGTTTCAAGAGGCATCTGAATCTGTTTTTTAAACGGCCAAATGCGCACTCCACAACTTGCCTTGCTCGGCTTAGGCGATAATTAAATTTCTTTTGTACAGGACTGAGATTGCCATCATTAGGATGCCTCTTCATCAGCCATGGCAAGAGTGGATAAGCTGGATCACCAACCAGCATGACTGGAACATTGCACTCGCAAATCTGTTTTGTTAACTATGGCAAAGACAGATTGTAAATTTTTAAATTTTTAAAATTTTTTTGTAAATTTAAAATATTTATGATAAACTCACATCTGGGAAAAGTAATCCTGCTTCAGCTTTCCCAAATACTCCTGAGTTTGATAGTACTCTGGCATCATGAACTCGACCTGGCCACTTTATGTAAATGTCAGTAAATCTTCAAAAGATTCATAAAAAGAAATATTTTTTTAAATATTTTGATAGCAGGGTTTGCATGCATTAGTACGACATAAAACTAAGTGCAACATCCAACTTATCAAAGTGATTAGTTTGAAACATATGTCTTAGGGACCGTTCATTATTTATACCCTAGGATGGGGTGGGAGATTCTTATGTCATACACAAGCATCTTGTGGCCCTCCCCCCTTTGATGATCTCAATGTTGAAGACCCCCCCTATAAAATACTGGAAAGTTTATAACCCCCCCCCCCCGTTTCTATGAATAGTTTAATACTATAAGGAATACAGTATAAGTCAAGAACAAGAACTATTGTCCAAAAACCATGACCAGCCGACAATTTAAAAAAATAAAGTAAAAAGCAAATTCCGAAAATACAGGACATCTTGAGAATTCAATATATAATTCAAAACAAGACGCAGTTTGAGACTGTAAATTTTCGACTTTATTTCAAAGTCATCTTCAGACAGAAATGAAGATGAAGAAGATGACTTTGAAATAAAGTCGAAAATTTACAGTCTCAAACTGCGTCTTGTTTTGAATTATATATTGAATTCTCAAGATGTCCTGTATTTTCGGAATTTGATTTTTACTTTAAGAACTATTGTTTCCATTGCATATTTTTCCTTTAAAATTATGTGAACCTCGCCGTATTGGACATTGTAGTTTACATTAGAGATATTATCAGGGTGTGTTAATTAAACTATATGAAGTATAACAAACTATTGATGCACTTGTTACAATGTGTAACACACAACTTAAACTGGCATTTATAAGTTTGTTTAAATGTCATTTGAACACACATTTTTTAGTTAATAGTTAATTCAAAGTAAGTTTAACCCTTTAAGTGTCAATGTACCCAGATGCGCCCTACTTTATTATTTCACTCTGTCAAACGCCATATTATTTTACTCTGTCTAACACCAGGCGATTTCACTCATCAGGGGGGGGAGAGTGCTGCCATGCAACTCAATGGGTTGACTATCTGCTTAAATGTACCATGTTAACGCTTCAAGTAGCAATGCGCCCACTTTATTATTTTACCCTGTCTAACACCAGGGGCCGGTTGTATCAAAGGCGTTTAACTCGCTAACCACCGTTTAACTCGCTATCCGCCGGATAAAATTTAAACGCTCGAGAAATCGCGTTGTATCAAGCCCGTTTAGGGCTATCCACCGGTTAAATTTTGCCTATCCACCGTGTAAACTTATACGGTCTCTTGAGACCGTTTAAATCGCTATACGGCGGATAAACTCGGAGTTTGAAGATAAAACAATGATTATTTCGGATGAAAAAGCATGGGATAGTTATAAAAATGCACAATCATGTGGAGGAGTTATCTTTTTAAATCCAATAAACATGAAAAACTCACTTTTAACTGGCTTGGTCTTGAGGTACACTGAGGTCACTTGCTCACTTGTAATTCCGTGGCTTTGCTATATTTACGCACACCAGTGTCATGTTTAGATGTTAAGTATATATACTCTGGCTTTTTCTCCTTCTTTTCTTCTATTATATAGTTTGAAAACAAGCAGTAAGACTCCCAATTTTAGCTATTGTAAAACAAACAATGACTTTGGAAAGCCAACAAGTATACAAAATAGACAACAAGACGCCGAAAGTCGAAAAAAATTGTTCGCTCGCGTTAATCGCTTTGATCAGCCAATCAAAACTTGGGACAAAATGTTCTTAAAATTGTTTTGAACAAAAGTGCAAGGTCGAGGAACAAATTTCAAACAGTATAAAACTGGATCAACTGACAAAAGCCAAATACAACTCACAGTTTTTGCTATTGCCTTCGACTCTTCGCATAAAGAAGCCAAAAATCTTTAAAGAAATATCCGTAAGTGAATTTAAGTGAATGAGAAACTCAGCACAATGTGAAAATGAAAATTTGATATAGATTTGCAGCAACGAATGGACGAGCAAACTCCAAATAAAAACAACAACAAACTTTATTGCAAAAGCTTAGTGGAATTCACAAGTTAGATAAAGCTTCAAAAGTTTACAAAGGCCTAGCAACAGCTGACGTAGAGGTAGGAAATTTCAAGAAAATCCGGTTTTCTCCGGTTAAATTAAAGGTTATCCTACGGATAGTTAAACGCGGTACTAAACGGGCTTCGTACAACGCAATTTTATCGGCCGTTTAACTATCCGCTGGATAAGAAATTTATACGCTGGATAGCGGCTAAACACCGTTTAAGTTAAACGCCTTTGATACAACCGGCCCCAGATATATATATATATATATATATATATATATATATCCAGGGTCACAAGGCCTGGACACTCTTTTAGAGTGAGCTCGCGAGTGGAAGGAATACTATCGCGTAAGTTAATCATCGATATATACATTTTGCGAAACAAACGCGTAATAATACCTAATCTTTATAATTATATGCTCGTTTAGGTGTCTGAAGGGGCTGGGTGGGCGTACATCCATTCTTGAGCACTCTCGTCATTTCGCTATATACTGAGCATTGCGCAGCAAACTCAGATGCGACAAAAGAGAAACAAACTCTTTCAAATATCAAAATCTATATATTGCTCGCGTACGTATAAACAGCTTTATTGTCTGTTGTACGCTTGAGCACTCTCCATCACAATGACAACATGAATAAACATGCTAAATTATGTATATCACCTGTCGATGACCCTGAACTTTGTACATCACGCGTTGACATGCGCAGTTATTCGATCCTTAGCTATATAGACTTTGTGTATGTGTATTCTTTCCTTTTAAGTGCCCATCCAGGGTCACAAGGCCTGGACACTCTTTTAGAGTGAGCTCGCGAGTGGAAGGAGCTCGCGAGCTTGCGAAACAAACGCGTAATAATACCTAATCTTTATAGATATAGATATAGATATAGATATAGATATAGATATAGATATAGATATAGATATAGATAGATATATATAGATATATATAGATATATATAGATATATATATATAGATATATATATATATATATATATATATATAGATATATAGATAGATAGATAGATAGATAGATAGATAGATAGATAGATAGATAGATAGATAGATAGATAGATAGATAGACAGACAGACAGACAGATAGACAGACAGACAGACAGACAGACAGACAGACAGACAGACAGACAGACAGACAGACAGACAGACAGACAGACAGACAGACAGACAGACAGACAGACAGACAGACAGACAGACAGACAGACAGACAGACAGACAGACAGACAGATAGATAGATAGATAGATAGATAGATAGATAGATAGATAGACAGATAGACAGATAGACAGATAGATAGATAGATAGACAGAT